GAGTTTGGGTATGAAAATACCTTCGGAAAATAGTTTGGGTTGATTTTCCCCGTTTTCCCCTCCTATTGTATATATGGATTTTAAACATTAAAAGTCTTGTGTATCTAATCTAATTTTTCTTAAAAAGAATGCGTATTTTTTTATTAATAAAGTAGTACATTAATGTGTATTTTTATATAATGAGAAAAATGTGCACACAAAGTTTGAATTTTGGTTAACGTTTAGATTGTTTTTGTTAACAAATTGGTGTTCTTCACAAACAAGTCACAATTGTCACTCATGAGTAAACTATATAAGGTAGCATGAGTAGCATCTATCTTTTGTTCTTCACAGCCAAGTCACAATTGTCACTCAGGCCCGGCCCGTGCCTAAAGCCCAATAAGCAAGGGCTTTAGGCAGCAGATTTAAAGTTAATTTTTAGGGGCAGCATTTGGAGAAGGTCCTTTAGTATAGTGGTTAAGTAGCACCAATTTACTGTCCGATCCGGAGTTCGACTAAGTAATATATGATGGACAAAATATATAAAGTAGATCTAGTCTATCGAAAACTTACTTTGACATATTCCAAGGGACAATTTTGATGTGTGTCCTCTAACCAGAGCCGTCTCTAAAATTTTGCAGGCCATAATCAAAAAATAATAAAAGGCTGGTTGAATACAAGTAAGATATTCGAACAGGGGTGCATCACTCATAACTGGCACTACATGTACCACTGGACTAAAGAACAATTTTGTAAAATAAGGCCGAATTTTATATATAATATCGAGGGCCGCAAGCTGATGCTTCACCAGCTTGGCCAATGGGCCGGCTCTGCCTCTAACGTGTGGAAAACTTTGCAATTTAACTCGTTTGGGTATTGAGACTAGGAATTTGGTCCTCTAAAGTTTTATATGATGGAAAAAATATATGAAGTAGATCTGGTCCATCGAAAGCTTACTTTGACAGTTCCAAGGGACTTCTCCACTGCGTGTCCTCTGAAGCGGGGTTAGTTGGTTATTATACTTCCACAAAGATTGTATAAGCTTTCTTAAACTGGTGAAGGACAAACACATATAGAAAAATAGTAAAACATATGGACAACTGTGTTGATGGACATATTAGGTGCAGTAGATCTGGTCCATTGAAACTTACATTGAAGAACTCTGAGAACAACTTTTGTGGAATATTCTATTATGTACAATAAGTAAAAAAAAAATAAAGTTAAATATTCCATTAGAAGTGGACATTGATGGAATTAGTCCATTAATTACCTAGTTATTACATCTTAATCGATTTCTACTCGATGGATAACAAAATTAGATGATATAAATTTGATAGACAAAGTAATTTTTCATTACTGGATTTAGTCCATCGAAAAATACCTTTGTAGAATCTTTGTTGTTCTAAGAAAAATCAGGTCGTGGTTGAGATACATTATGGAAAAATAATTAGTCTATTAGTATGTTGATTATCTATTAGATAAAGCTGGAGAAAGAATTTCGAGAATATGAAAAAAAAGTCGGAAAGAGAAAAATGGAAGCTTGGGGAAAGAAACAAAAAAAAAAGACATGTAACGTAGAGGAGTGAGTATATGTGAGAGAATGTATTTTAATTGATTATTTTATTTATTATTTGGTTCTATTAAGATAAGGGTAAAAAGGTATTTATACACAAGTCTTATGGCACCCGGAAAAAGATGTGGGAGAAAGTGGCATTCTTTACATATTTATACGCTGTTCATGGCAAAATATATAATTTTCTGAACAAATTTTGGGGGCATTAATTTCTAGTTTGCTTTAAGCATAATTTATTCTTGCGCCGGCACTGCTTATAAGTAAACAATATAAGGTAGCATCTATCTTTTGTTCAATCAAATATCTTTAAAACCAAGTCACAATTATTGTTATGACAAATCTAATACACAAATCTGGTTTCACGTTCCTCTTGTAATTGTTTTTTTTTTTTTGTGATTGTTTCACTGCAGGGAAACGAGTATCAGAAACATAGTTAGCACTGCCATTAGACCCTCTCAACCCTTGTTTTCATTTCATAATGTATATATCCTGGAGAAAATTGCATCTTTTGTTTTAACTGCTCAACTAATGAACTAATAGACACCCCCATCACTTTAGAACGTTAGAAAAGCTTACATTCCATATACATGCATACCCACACATACATATTGCATACACATTCATGTATATATGCTTCATTGATTCCTTTTTCCATTATTTCTTTGTTTACAGAGTTACATGCTTAACGTGTTTGCTTGTTTCCTTTGCTTATCTGCTCAACTTCCTTATTTTTTTTTATATTTTTTCAACTTCCTTATTTGCTTCTATGATTCTTCTCCTTAGTGCTTTACTCTCTTCTGTGCTTTCTTGATACCTCTGCTTAGTGCACTAATTATTTGGTCTTATGGTAAGTTGGTCTTATTAGTTTTGAAATCATGTAGTAAGCTGTAAACTTTTGTTATGTTCCTAGAGCATAAAAGTAGTTTTTGTTATACGGAATTGCATGAATTCCTCTTGTAATTGTTTTATCTCACTGCTGGGAAACGAGTATCAGAAACAGAGTTAGCATTGCCAATCCAATTCAGGAAAATCAAACCAAAAGCTAGATGATGAAAAATCAAGAGAGGTGAGCCAAACTGTTGACTGAATCTTTCTATTCCAAAACCAAAAAACCAACTACTCTGTTCCACAAGACAAGAGAAGGTCTTGTAAAAACCGGTTTCAGCGTATGCCCTTCAATCATCAATCACAGTTTTGTACTCATGTTTTCATTTCTTAATGTTTATGTCCTTGAGAAAATTGCACCTTTTGTTCCAAAACTTGTCATTGCCTCATGCCAACACTTCTCTTCCACAGGTAATAAACCATCAAAACTGTCTGATTCTTTTTACTTATTATCTAGTGATTTTTTATCTCTTGGAATCTCTCTGACTAAGTTCCAGGATGGTACTGTTTTATTACATGATCCAGTTTATCTAGATTCTCAATCCAAAACCAATAACTCTGTTCCACAAGACAAGAGAAGTTCTTGTAAACACCGGTTTCAGCGTTTGTCCTTCAGTCACTCAGCACACTCCAAAGTCCAAAGGTATGTTTTCTTTGCATCACAGCACACTCAACTCATGTTTTCATTTCTGTCCTCGAGCAAATTGCACCTTTTGTTTCAAATGCTGAACTAATGAAAAAGTTCCAAACAACGAGAGACTTGTCATTTCCTCATCAAGCCAACACTTCTCTTCCACAGGTAATGAACCATCAATGGTACTGTTTTTTTTCTTTTCCACAATTGACCAAAGCTGACAGTGACAAGATTGAGATACAAACGAGAACCAAGAACTGGAACAAGAATCGGAACATAAAACAGAACCAAGAACTAGAGCAGAAAATAGACTTGAGGAACAACATCTATGATTTTGCAAGGTAAGTTGGTTAGTAATAATTTTTCTTGAGTTTATCTTCAAAATTTTTCTGTTACTTTTACAAATTGTGTTTTGATCATGTTACGTATCTGCTGCAGTGTTCATTGCTTCCTTTTTCCATTATTTCTTTGTTTACAAAGTTACATGCTTAACATGTTGCTTATTTCCTTCTCTGCTTAGTACATTGCTTGATTCTGGTGCTTAGTGCACTGCTTCTTTCTTTGTTTCTTTGTCCCTTTGTTTCTTTGCTTCTTTGATTCTTCTGCTTAGGGCATTGCTTACTTCTTTGCTTTCTTGATTTCTCTGCTTAGTGCATTGCTTGCTTCTTTGTCTCTTTGTTTCTTTGTTTCTTTTATTTTTTGCTTCTTTGCTTTCTTGATTCATCTGCTTTTAGTTCAACTTGCTTATTTCTTGATTTTGTGCTGTCTAGCATGTTTTGTCAAGAAACTTAGTTTTAGTTTGTTATGTTTTATTTACAAGAAAAAAAAAATCAATTTGTTATGTTTAACAATATTAATTTATTGGCACACCGACTCAAAAACTACCTAATTAGCCGTCTAAAATTATTTTTAATGTAATTCAAGCATTTTCACGTTATTATATGTTATGGAAGGCTAGGTATGTAAAAATGGGTAGATACCCATGAGTTTACCTTATTTATCTATTATATTAGCGTATATAGGTTAAACTTTTAAACCCATTTAAATAAATGAAATTTGATTGGTTTGTCTAACGGGTTCATGGGTTTATCGGAGTAAACCCATTAGAGTTATGGGTTACTCATAGGTATACTAAAAAACCAAAATTTTTTAATATATATGATATTCAATATATGTTAAATTTTATTTTTCACTTAAACTATATAAAATATCTAAAATAAATGTTAACTTTTTCTTATATGCTAAAAAGGTAAAAACTTAAAAGTAATATACATGTCAATGATCTAAAATAAATTATGTCGAAAATGAAGAATGTATCATGATGAATGAAGTTAAAGAATCGGATTGCATCTAAAGAAGATTCAAAAGAATGGTTTTTTTTTTTTTAGTTTTATGGATTTGTCATTTTTGGCTTAAAAATTTTAGGATGTTTTTTTCTATTTTAATTTCTAGATATCTTTTTTTATCACTTGAAAACTATTGCTGATTTTATAATTATATTTTATATAATATATTTAATATTAATTAATCTATTATATTTTATTTATATATGGTAACCCATATAACCCATTTAGCATAATTAGATTGGAATTATTTAGCATAATTTTCGTTTATATGGTAGCCTTCGATATATCAATTGTTCCTTATTTTATTTGTGTGCAAAAGATATAAATTGTTCATAAATCATAACACTTTAACCATAAGAAGTATTCAAGAAGTAAGATCCCAAAACCATTTCTTGAAAAAATCCTACAATTATTTAGGAAGAATTTGTAAAAGTAAAGTGATGTTTTCTAAATATTTTGTATTCTGTTTTTTTTTTTAAAGAAATATGTATGCTTAAAAATATCTCATCTTGTAATTAGCGTGATTGAGAATAGAAATTGAAGATTATATGGATGAATTTAACCAATTAGACAATATAAATAATAAAGAAACAATTAAACTTCGGATTTTATATTTCAATATCTATATTTCCATTTGAGTAACATACAAATCACTCGACACACACACACACACATACATAATCTCACACACTTAATATACATGTTAAGTTTCACTATGCTCTTAGTATAACTAAAAAAAGAAAGATCAAAGAAGATGAAAGATCAAAAGTATATCAAAGTAGACTAATCTAGACGTTGTACCGGATACTATTATCATCACCAGAGAACTTGTTCTTGATCCATTTGAAACTGTTCTTGAGAGTACTCTTGAGCTTTTCCTCCGTGGCAAAAAGATTGTAAGAAGCTACTCTCTTCTTTCTCTTCATCTCTGGATCTGTATTGATGCAAGGCCCATTAAAGTTGTAAGAGTTTGAGCGGTTCTGATCATAGCCAAACTCATCCGTTGAGAAATTTGATGAATACTCCGTGTATGACTTGCTTCCCTTCATCATCTTTTAGGCTCTTTGGTTTTGATCTTTGTTTTTGCAACCTCTATCTCTCTCTCTTTTAGGCTATGTGAGTGAAGAAGCTTATACTACTCTTCTTAAATGGGGTTGGGTTATAAAGAAGTGGAGGGGGTAGCATGGTTTTGGTTTAAAGTGAAAGTGGGAAACAAACCAGATCCTTTGGTAATGGTATCAAAACCATTTAGACCATGATTGTAATATCAACAATTAGAAACAAATTAATGCAATATACCTTTTTAAATTATTAATGGCTATAACTTCTTTTTATAATTTTAGTGATCATATAAAGTAATCTTAATCAATTTTGTTTAGTTTTGGAAATAGTAGAGGCAAGAGTGGGATGGGTGGGATTGAGGTGGCAAAGCATGTGTGATGTTATAGTTGGTTACATGATGGTGTAGCAAGAAGGTATTATCTACTTCCTTCAACTTTAAGTGTGGACCCAAATTTTGAAGTCTATTTTTGCATGCCACCATCAATTGCTATGATTAAAACCAAATAAAGATTTTCAAATTATAATTATTCACTTTTGATATATCATACAAATTGACAAAGAATGGTAATTAAACATTTTTCCCAATATATACATCTAATAGTTATATGTTTTGATAAGATATATCAAGGAAGATGAGATTAAAATTTCAATTTGCAATCAATCATATTATATAGATCAATGGAATGAAAAAGAAGAAGACAAAGTGGAGACAAGACTAAATAGAGAAAGGACCCAACATGTCTAAAAGCTGAATTGTCAAAATTAAATTCCATGAGACAAATAATATAAATTTTGGTTATTTATTAGGGTTAGATTTGAAAGCAATGAGTCGGAATTGCACATAATGGTTGCGTCTTCATGTAACTATGTAGGGACTGCTTTTATGATTAAATGTTCTTTTATAATTTTGTAAAATACAAAAGTCATTATCATTATTCGTTCATAAGTTTTTATTTGATGTTAAGTATATTTATATTTTGCACCCACTTCCTCCTCTGTTCTATGGATCATTATGTGTATTGGTTAAGTTTGGTTGGGAGTAACCATTCAATGAAAGACAAAGCCATTTGCGTATATGTAATAATTAAATCATGATATGGGAAAATGCCTAAAATAACAATGATTATTTGTTCTTGGAAGGTAGTATATATCTGGAAATAATATCTCTATTGCCTATGAACAAAAGAGAATATAGATTATACATATGTTTTGGTTGCATCTCTTAGAACCGTTTCAAGATTCAAACCATACTTAAAGGAGTAGGGGTTATTGGATCATTGATTTTTATGGATTTGGAAATCCAAACAAAAATCTTATGTTATTCAATAGTTGATCCAGACCATACTTAGAGAAACTGCAATATTTAGGAGGAAACTATATATTTCGGTAAATTGACCGGAGAAACAATTAAATTTCTGTTTGTAATTTTGAACCGTTTTAAATAATTTTTTTTTTTGAATACAAAAACGCTTTTTATAATTGGGATTATCCACGATATTCTTTATTTATCTTCTAATTTTACCGTATGTTCTCATAATTTTATCCCAGAAAATCACAATTGCTAGGCTGATGCTTTGACATATATATGTTAATATAGTTAGGTATTTTTACATCACTTAACCCATGGAAAAATGTAGAAAAAAAAAAGAAAAAAATAAATAAATATCAAAACTTTTGAAAATCGGCTGGTTATATTAGACCGCTTGAAATTTCTTGTTAATATTAAATCTATATAACAACAGTAATTAATCACGTTTTTGGTCTCGTAAATATGCTTGTTATTTTTATTTTGAGTTTACACGTCTTTACACGTTTTTGATCTTTTGTTTAACTTTCAACCTCATTCGCTAATTCACATCTCTTTTATACGTTTTCATATATTTTTTTTCCACTTACCATAAGCCACTATTTAATAACAATCAAACATCGTGCATGTAACTCATGTCAGTTCTTTTTCATCAAAAAAAAATTGCATTAGAAATACAAGTATTCACTTTTCGATCTTTCGACTTTAATAGATCTGAATCCTATATAACTTTTTATCTTCAATCGTGATACACGAGAACACGATATAACGGTATAACATATGGGGGGAAGACATATTCATATTGCATAAGAAAATTCATTAAAAATCGTTTACATAAAAAAATAAAAAAATAAAAAAATTCGTTTACATAAAAAATAGTGTGTACCAAAATTAGGTAAATGTTTAAAAGAAAATTGAATATTGATAATAATTCATTTTTATACTTCATTTAACTGTTACAATTTATTTTTCTATAACATGTTATTTTCTTATGTGAATATTTTTAGTGTATCAAATATTTTAGTGAATATTTACAATTTATATTTTCTTATGTGAATTAGCTTACAAATGTTAATATAGTTGGGTATTTTATGGAAAAATATAAAAACAAAACAAAAAAATAAATATCAAAAGTTATTTAGGAGAAAAGTATGAATTTCGGTTACTTGACCGGAGAAAAATAAGTTTCGGTTTGTACATTTAACCCATTTTAATTAATTTATATATGTATATGATAATAAATGTCATAAAATTAGGTAATTTTACGTCACTTAAATCACATAAAACGCAAACAAAAAAAAACACACAAAATAAATATCAAAAGTTTTGAAAATCGGCTGTATATGTTAGACTGCTTGAATTTCTTGCTAACACTAGATCTATATAATTACAGTAATTAATCACGTTTTTGGTCTTGTAAATATTTTGTAACTATTTATTATTTACATATTTTGAGTTTACACGTCTTTTTAGCTGAACTTTCAACATCATTATTCACATCTTACACTTTGTTTCCACTTACCAAATAATCACTCATGTAAATCATGCCAGTATTTTTCATTAAAATTACCAAGTACATTCACTTTTCGATTTAATATTGATTTTGGATCGTATATTTTTTTTTTCTATTAATTTTCTAACAACAAGTTCATATTACATAGCAATTCAATTTTTTTTTTCTAATTGTTTACAGAGAAAGTAGCATGTTATCTTGGTAAATGGTTAAAAAAATTAATTTTATCTTTATAAATCAGATTTAGTTTATTGTTCTATAACATTTTATTTCCTTATGTGAATATTTTTAGTTTATCAAATAGACGTGTGAATATAATAGCTGAGGAAGAAAAGTTGTGAAAAAGTTGAGCAAAAGTTGAGGAATATATTAGTTTTTTTTTTGTCAAACGAGGAATATATTATATATTAGATATATTATTAGTCTTATAATTTGGTTACATATTGTCTTAAAGTTTTTAATGTTTTCTTCTTATTATTATGCTGTTTAACATATTATGAATATTTAAAAAGTTTTATAGTTATTGTCTTTGTTTGCACCTTTCAGAACTTAGAGCCATTAAAGAGTTGAGAACATTCTTAAAGATTGAAGAAAATATTTACAAAAGTGCAGAGAGGGTTGTGAAGAATGGGACTGCAAAGGAGGCAAAAGTGGTGACAAGTTCTACAATACTATAATACTCAAGACATTAATATATTTGGTTTGTCAATCATATCATATGGTGGAAAATATGTTTACCTAACATACATGAGCAAAACCAATTGTATTCAACTACTGTTAGCTAATATACTTGACGTATTTGGGGTATATATAGAATTTTGGTTTGAGATATGAAAATATCAAGAACTGATGTTTTTTTCTTCACATTAACAGTGCAAGTAGAATCAAGCTATTTCTTCACACAAATCTTCTTGATTTGTAATTGTAAATTTATTTCTATTTTTTTTATAAAGAAATTGTAGTTGTGTTTGACCAAACTAGCTAGTGATTTTTTCAGTTTCGTATACATAAAAATATATACACACAATTAGAGAAAAATAGATCGTCGTAATCTACAGACCCAGTCGAAAAATATTTCAGACTTCCCAAAATAGTAGATATGGCTAATAGAACATATGTTGTGGATCCATGAATAATAACGGTCAGAGCATTACACATTTAGTCTTGAATTAGACTACTAGTTAGAGCTGTCAATTAGGGCTAACCCGTGGATTTTCAACCCTAACCGCATCAAATTTTTCTTTATGCGAGTTTTGCGGGTCAGCCCGCTAAAATTCAAAATCGGATTGGGCTCTAGCCCACGGTCCACTGATTATTTTTTTGGGCCAACAGCATAAGCCAGCTTTCAATGGTCTCATTGTATTAGCCCAACTTCAAATCTCTCAACACTGATCACAAACTCGTAATTTAATCGCTTTTGATATATTAAGTAACAAAATAAAGTAAAATTGCTCTCAAAAGATCTAGAAGATGAATCCAATATATTCTTAGAACGCTTCGTTTAATCCAAAGGAAGAGAAGTTATGTTACCGCTTTAATCGACAAGTTTCTTGCTTTTCTTTTGCCTAAACTAGGCATTAGTATACTTTCTTGATGAATTCGAACCAAACTTGGAGCATAGTTGAACATAACCCCTTGCCCTAATTTTTGCACAGATTCTCCAAATCTAATCTCTCTGTATACACCACACTCCCCAATAACAAGTACCATGTCTTGGACTTTTGTCATGGCTCCATATATCCTTCTACTATCACAACACAACACAACCAGTTTTTTCTCCTCGTCGACGTAGAAGCTTACACAAGACGAAAACGGACAACAGCCGTAAAAATCGACATTATCCACTACCAAAAATCTTTCCCACGACAAGACTATGTTCCCATCAATCTTATCACTGGTCGCCACCCATACATCAATCTTTAATGATCCAGTCCTCTGATTCAACACTGATAGTTTCTCTTCTCTAACAATGGATAGAGCTATAGCATATTTTTTATCCTTAAAGGGAAGACACAAATGTCCAAAACTCTCTGTAGTAAAATCAAAACTTAATAGATAACTATCCAATTCCCATACAAGCCAATAAGAGTTCCCCTTCCAAGACACACCATAAGGGTTTACAATGGAGGGTTCATTGACTTCAAGAACCCTCCATGTACCAGAGGTAAAATCGTAGATTTCAAGCTGAACAAGTGGGTAAGTTATTTGATATCTCAAGATTTTGTAGTTACGGAAAGATTTGTTGTCTTCGTATCCCAAAGCATAGACAAAACATTCTTCGTATACAGTACAAGGTCTGATGAGTTTGGTTTCACCAGTACAAGGGTTACAAACCACGACCTTGTCTTTTTTGGTGCTACATAGTAATAAACCATCACAATGAGACAAGACTTGTTTTATCTTCTGAGTAAGGCCATGTTCAACTTTGAACAATATAAACGGATCATCAACGTTGTTGTCAATGTCATGGAGATTGAAGCTTAGTGAAAAGAACTTTTCTTCATGCAACATGAAAACCAAAAACTGCTTTGATGCTTTACCAAAGTGTTTCTTGGTGAATCTTTGGTCTTTTTGTAAAGCATTCCAATGTTTGCAAGTAGATCGTAATTGTTTCAGAGATGTTGCCGGAACACAAGAGAGAATCTCATCTACCACATCCTGAGGTAGATCAGACATTGATTGTTTCTTGTTTGAGATCCTTGATTGGGATAAAAATACGAAAGACAAACGAAGGCTATATATATATGTAACTAGTCATTAATTAGGGTTTTGGCTTTCACGTTTCCTATGTGGATTCTATTTACTTTTTTTTTTTTAATATTATTATTCAATTGGTTGTTCTTTCAAATTACTTATTAGAAAAAGGCATGATTTTTGTTTTTTTTTTAATCTTTTTTTTTTGTGTTTTGAATCTATAAAGATAAAACCAAATGAACAAAGACTGAAGATAGATGGCTTCCTGCACAAGCAATATTTTGGACATGTACTTAAACATCCCTTTCTCAATCAAATATGTTATTATATAAAATTTGGTTTTCAAAGTTAGCCATTTAACATGACCGTGACAGGTGTCAATTGTATTGATAAGCAGTATACACGTTTCAATTTTAAAATATTTCATAATAAAAATATAATAGATTTAGGATTCTGACATGTGTCAATTAAATCAATAAGATGTCTTATTTTAAATTTACTAAAATATTTCGAAATAAAAATATAAAATTTTTAAACCTATACATAAAGAAAAAGAAAATTTGTTTATTTTTTTTTGTCTAACATATTAATATTCTTTTGGGATCCTATGTAGGTATGACTTGCAAGGATGGAACAAATTGCAAACCGTACCAATATGAATCAAGACACAAACTATCTTCCTTGCAAGGGGCACCATGTCTACGAGTTCCATAAGTTTTTGTATGTGTTCGAAGATTACAAGCAATGTAACATTTGTGGTCTAAGTCCCATAGGTAGATAATGTCCATATCAAAATAGTTTATCGCCATTGGAACACACTTTACACCAAGCTCTACACAAGCCATGTTAATTTCCCAAGCCTTTTCCCAATTCCAAGAATCACTCTCTAGTCTCCAAACCCTTACATTATAGCTCTTGACCTCTTCTATCAGTTCAGCTTCAATAAGCACAAAACAACCTTGCGAAGTAGTGCATATAATCTTATTGTGTGAGCTCTCATGTTGAGTGCTCTTCATCAAGACGGGTAGGGGGAGTTCTCGAATCTTATCATCATAGGAGAAGAAGTCATGTACAATAATTCTCCGGGAGTACATATCATCAAACCAATGAAGTTTCCCATTCAAAGAAACGGGATTGCATTTGCTGTACGGAAGTTCATAAAGTCCAGGACATGAGACGTGTTGAACACTCCATTCACCAGTATCCGACGAATATATCTGAAAGGTCCAACTCCATGTTCTAATAATAGAAGTCATGTCTTCACTATATATACGAATCACCTTGTAACCTAAGATGGCACTATTGTGCTTTCGTATTACAAGACCTGAATCAACAAAGCTATGGTATTGAGCAAGATAAGGAGGAGAAGACAGTTGAATCCATTGTGATAACATAGGATTACCAATGTAGTAACGTTTTGTCATATCTTCCTCAAGCACACACAACAAAACCAAACCATCAGCACAAGCCACAACCCAAATCTCTTTGATTTTAACGTTGTTTTGAGTATACTTGCGGATCACGTCACTTGTGAAAGACCAATTACGAGTTTTACCATGTAGGTTGAGTTCTACTTCCTCCAAAAAAGAAGTCGTGCATCTATAACTTCCATGTAAGATTGACCAATTAGATTTACTGTAGATATCAATGAAGAAACTTGATTCCATAAGCAATTTCCAATCTCTACACACCAACTTGAATCTAAAGATGCTTTTTGGAGGTAGTCTTGTGATGATCTTTATCACCAATTCTTCAGGAAGCTCCACACCTTTCTTCTTCAAATCTGTTTTGCTCATTCTTAGTTTTTTCCTTCTTTTCTTCTTCTTGTTTGTTTTTCTAATGTTGCTATAGGTTCTCTTATTTATAATAAGATAACCATATGAATTTAATACAAATCTATAAAAGTTTTGCAAAGTTTTTAAAAGGAGACGTATTGAGTATGTGATAAATTATTGATATGGTTAAATATGATATTATAGAAAGAAAAAGGAAAAAAAACACTATAAAATGACATATCTTATTAATATTATATAATTGTGAAGTTAATTTCAAAGTGACTTTGAAAAATTTAGGTATTAAAATATTAATGATAGATTTAATATAAAAGACAGATAAGGGTAAATTAACTAATTATCTAAATTACTTTATAATTGAATATCTCTCTATTTTCTTCTTCTTACTATCCATATAACTTAAAAAGCAATAGAATTAATTAACATATATTTTTAATAATTTTTATTACTTTTGGTAAAATTATAAGTTATTTTTAGAGAACAAAAGTTTATTAAAATTTAATTTTCAACTTTTTCATATTTTTAATAAACAAAAATTTGTGAAGATTTAATTTTCAACTTTTCATATTTTTAGTAAATAGGAAATAAAAGAAAATTTTCAAACATTATTCATCTTCAATTATTTTATTAAAACAACATGTTATTTGTAAGAAACATTTAATTTCTTAAGTTTTTGAGAGAATTTCTATCTTTGTTTTTCTGTATATCCCCCCCCCCCTTCCCACCCCTCTTTGAGTAATACATCTTTGACGCGACATATGATTTTTATTTATTAGCGTAAAATTAATTAGGATATTCGGATTTAATTTTTGTGAAAATGTTTTTAAAATGGATTTAGTTAGCTATTTTTCTTTTTTCTTAAATTAAAATAAATAGAAAGAAATAAGGAAATATTAATTGAAATCTTTACAAAATATCTCTATGGTGAAAACGTATGCAGAGATACACAGACAGTTACGCTTGGAACGCGCCAAGCAAACGCTTTTTCCTTCGATGTTTATTAACAAAATTTATCTTTTCCTATAATACAATTTTGTCTCGGCTCTTACTCAATCTATTCCTCCCAATAGAATTGAACCCGACTAAAGAACGAGCACTAAACCTTTCTCTCCTACACCCGTGTAGTCCCAAGAGAAAACAAACACTCACCTTCTCAGCTTTTTGTTTTTCTAGATTCGAAGTTTACAATCACGTACAAAGAGTCTAAAGTGTTCAAAGTGGCTCGTGGCCAAACCCTAGACTATTTATACTCACTACTCGAAACCCTAACCCTAGGATCTTCGAGGATCTCACGGAAACGGAATATGCTTGCTTGTCAAGCTTATCCTTTCCTTATTTGATGTGAAGAATATTCACCATATCTTCACACGCAATTCGTCTCTATATTTGCTGCCAAGCAAGAAATCTTCCTTAGCACGTCACTCCATCCACTTAAGCTTTGCCACGTCATCTCACGACTCCATGTCAGCAACTTCAAGTGTCTGATGTGATCCCAGGCGTCTGATGTGGTCTCAGGCGTCTGAACAGATGCAGCTTCCTGATCTCCACAGCAAGCTGTTCTGGAACTGCATCTTCAATCTCCCCCTTTTTGACTTAGTTTGATAATCAAGCATCCTTTGTGATAAACCTGAAAGTCACAGAGAGACACAACCAAAACACAGCAACAAGGAAAACATCTAGTAATATAACTAGCACAGATCCCAAAATAAGAAATCCTAAAAAGCCATGTTTAAACATATTACAGACCCAAAAGCTAAAAGCTAACGAAACAAGGTTCTGTAATAAAAATACATTGTTGCTAACAACCAAAAACAAACAGCAACAACAGCAACTGCTCCCCCAGGACAAATGCTCCCCCACAAATCAACCAGTCCTATGATCATCAGAATCAGAATCATCTCCCCCTGCTTGTTTGCACAACTAAGTCAAAAACAAGTAACTTATGGATCACATGAATGACAGATT